CCCCCCCCCTCCCACAACCTCCCTTCCTGCAACTGGCAGTCAGAACGCACGAAGGAGTTTGCCCTGAAAGTACCCCCTCCCCAACTGGGGCAGAGGGACTCGGAGCTAAAGGTCTCCAGCTATTGCGTGTCGGGGTGGGGGGCACAGAGGGAGATGGAGGGGGGGTCTATCTACCCCCCCCCCATCCTCAAAAGGGGAGGCACAAAGGGAAGCGAGTGGCTGGTCGCGTGGCGTTGGGTGGGTGGGGAGGGAAGGGGGGCCTGGGGGGGAGCTCAAGCCAAGTGCCAAGTCCTCAAGGAAAAGCCGCGCGGGGGGGGGGGGGGGGGGGGGGGGGGGGGGGGGGGAGGGAGAGACTTGGGGAGGGGGATGCCCGAGGTCTGTGTCCAAGAAGGGCTGGATGGAAGTCCTTCAAGAAGGGCATCTCTTAGCTCAGGGATGAAGTGAAGGCTCCTTGGTGACCTCTCAGCTTGGTGGTTTTCTGGCAGACGTTTCATGACCCAACTAGGGAACATCATCAGTGCCAGGAGGAAGTGGGGGGTGTGGAGTGGAGAAGGAAGAGGGCCTGGAGGAGGAAGGGGAGGACTGTGGGCTGCTTGGTGGTCTCTGAGCTTGGTGGGTTCATGACCCAACTAGGAAATATTATCAGTGCTAGAAGGGAGTGAGGGGAGGGGGAGAGGAGGAGGAGGAGGAGGAAGAAGAAGAAGAAGAAAATGATAATAATAAACAACAACAATAAAAATAAAAATAATAACAAGAACAACAAAACAACAACAACAAGACAACAACAACAACAATAATAATAATAATAATGAGGAGGAGGAGGAAGAGAAGAAGAGGAAGAGGAGGAGGAGGAGGAAGAAGGAGAAGGAGAAGAAGAGAGGAATTGTGGGGTCCTTGGTGCTCTCTGAGCTGGGTTATTTCCTTGCAGACGTTTCATGACCCAACTAGGTAACACCCTCAGAGCTAGAAGGGAGTGGGGGTTTTGCTCTCTATTTATGTGACAGTTTCTGTAGTTTGTGATGCAATCGCAGCCACGATACAAAAGAGAGAAGTTTGGGGTTGTGTGGGGGTTTTTTTTGCAGAGCAAATGCAATTCCCATGTCCTTGTTTTTTTTTGGGGGGGGGGGGGGGGGTTCTTTCCCCAAATAATCTACACAGGAAGAGACCCAAAGACACTAGTATTGGGGGGTGTTTTTTTGCATTCATGAAAACTGCAGCTAGGAGCGAACCTACCCACCCGCCTCCCACCTATACAGGGGCCAGTAGGAGCTTCTCTGGTTGTCCTCGGGGACCCAACTGGGTTTAGTTATGCTCTGGAGGCCCCCAAGGAGACATTTTCGGCTCTCCCCCCCCGCCCCGCCAGCTCCAAATTGAGCCCTGGAAGAGCTATGGTCAACTGGCCTGGGGGTGGGCTTGGATGGTATCTAGGGGAAGGATCTGCAACCTTAAACACTCAAAGAGCCATTTAGACCCATTTCCCACAGAACATGACCACCAAGCCATGTCCACCCAGTCACAGGACCACCAAGCCACGCCCACAAACTAAGCCACGCCCAGAGAACTGGTCGTTAAAAAAATTTGAATCCCACCCCTGCCTACACCACTTCAGACAAATGGTTATCCAACATCTTTTTAAAAACTTCCAG